TCATTATTCATAAGAAGAACAAGGTGGAATGCTTTCAGATGTAAATAACCTTACATCTCAATAATCAGCGTTATACGCCTGTATAGCAATATCGATTCCTGGTCTGTCTTTCTTGAAAGTATTGAAGGAAATCTTTGCAATTCTATCCTTTACCCACACAGCAAATGACTGATGGCAAGTCAGAGAAGTGGACATGTCAAGGACTTCAGAGCTGAACAGAAACGCAAAGTAAGGACAAATCCCCCCAAAGAAAGAAAATAAACTAGAAATTTTTTGCTAGATTTGAAAAGAAATAGAGGAAAATAAAGTTTAAAAGTTAAACAAATTGAAACACTGCTATAGCTTTAATATCACTCTAATAATTTTAATATTCCTTGCCTTCCAAACCCTGATTTTCACTTTCTTCTATACCCCTGTCTTATCCAATCTTCAGGATTTCTTCCTTTGTACTTGACTGTATCACATCTACCCAACTGAAGTTATGTGCCTGAAGTTCCTAACAGACCACCTTGGTAACACTGAATAGTAATAGAGTTGAAAAGCAAAAATCAAGGCAGCAAAAGAGAAATAGAAGAATAAAGAAAAAGAAGGCTTCAGAAAGAAAGACCCACCTTCTACTTCATTTTCTTAAGGAGTGAAAAAAATTACATTTGGTCTTTCTTCACCATTCTTTACAAACATCCTTTTCCCACTAAAAGACTTTGCATTCTTTTACCTCACTAACTATGCTTTCCCATTATTTATTTGTTTTTAATGTGCAGCACTGTAAAGCCCAGCGTATTTGTTGTGAGAAAGAATTCAGCTGCAACAGCAAGCCAGGTTATATAGCCAATGTGTAATCACTGTATTAGTAGCCTGTGTAATGATAGCTGCTGCATTCAGCATTTCCACAAGTTGTCATTTGTAGATTGTGCTTCCAAGGCCCTACTTTAGACCTTTTCTGCTACAGGTCACATTGTAATTTCAGATTAGTTTGTGTTAGGAAAGGTACCAGGAATTTCCTATCTACTTCAGTGAATAGTGATTCGGTAACTTGCCATCCATCATTTTCTATTAAACAAGCTTCTGTATTAATATGTTTTCAGAATAAATGGAATACATCCTTTCCAGAAATGGAATACACTTAATGCACATGGACATTAGACTTCTCTTCCTAAGAAACGTGTCAATAGCCTGATAATCAGGGAATAGCTGGCATTGATAAATGTCTTTACTTCTGCTTGACTGAAGATCTGATATGGTTCACATATTCCTAGAAACATTTACGGATGTTTTAAAATGCAAATGCTAGCAGTATTCTCCTTTGACTACTCATAATTTAGTACCAAACTCAGCATTAAAAAAATCAGTAAAAACTCTGAGGCTCCTAGTTCTGTTACTGGTTCTGATGTAGTGCTTTCTCAAGTTACTGAACCATACTGCCTCACAAACCCTTTAAAACTCTCTTTCTCTTGATAATATTTTGTTATAATTAATCTTGCTATTTAGTGAATCGAAGGTGTTATGTTGCATTATATGAAGTAATTGTCTCAGGCTACTTAAGAAGGACCCTAATCTTTACAAAGAAAGTTTGTCTTCCTGATCTAAACAGCAAAAGTTTTGAATTCCCACTGATTTTCATGAACTGAAAGAACACAGTCCCCAGATTGGGAACATAAAAGCAAGTACAGGAGTGCACTGTCTTCAAACCTACCTCTTGCTTGTGACAATGTAAAACTGTAATATTACAAGAGTAGTTCCTCTGATTTGTATGAAAGGGAGGTCTGATCCTCTGTGGATGTAGTGCAAGCTCCATGTAAAACTCAGTTGGATGAGACATTTTTCATTCAGCGAGGGTGCAAATGAAACTCAAAGTCCTGCACTGAGAAACACATAAATCACTGGCAGAATGAAATGCTATCATTGGTATGAATTGTGTAGGAAGTGACAACTCCTTCTGGTCGCTGGTGTGCCAGCTGTGGATGTCCATCACCAAGTACTGCATGGGCTGGAAGTGGATTTGCAGTCCCGGTTCTGCATGCCCTCCTGCAGGCTGGGGTGGGTGGAACTGCAGCATCGATTCATCTTTTGCAGATCAGATTCAGCTTTTGCTGACAGGGGAATTGCCATTCCAATTGCCTTTTTCTGCCTTTTCTCCCCAGGAAAGTACCTAAGGCAGAGTTACTCTCACTTTGTCCCACAGCTTTGCAGCTTAAATTATGAGCATTTGTAGAGGAAGAACATTGAATCTGCTTGCCTTTCATAGCATCCCCCTGGTGTAACTGCTGACAAAATTTGGTTGAATGAAGGCAATTCAGGGAAGAAAACAAATACGGGATAAAATGGCCAGCCTCTAGGGATGTCAGGATTACACAAACAACAAACTCATGCACAACAGTGTTCAGGGCATTGTTTCCAGTTTCGATTAGCCAGTGTCAGCTTGATTTTGGATAGGCTCACTGCATGCTTTAGACAGACGTAAAAAGGGTGTAAGATATTTTATGGGGGAGTCACAATCCCTTTTGATGTAGCCATATATTCACTAGTGCAAACTTTCCACTCCACTGGTGAAAATCATCTCATCTTAAGAGGGACTTAAACCAAAAGTTTTGTCTTAACTTGTTACCAGCAGCTTTGAAGGAGTTAATGTTTGTAAAATCTATTCTGCAGACTTTGTAACGATTTGTTCCAGAATACAAATATTTTTGGCTGACCTTTGGCTAGAGCACAAGATACTGTAAGCCAGCCTTATATGTGCCATTTTCCCTAACAGTCTTCATCTCACAGTCCTTTTTGAGCTGATAAGCAACAATTAACACCGTTTTGTGTTATTATAAACCACTGCAGTGCAACAGAGATGATGGTGGTATAGCCTAGATTTCCCTTCATCTCTTTTCCCCACTGCCAGCAGCTAAGCTCGAGCCCAATATAAACATCTGGCAATAAGTTTTCCTGCATCAGGAATCTAGAGATGACCTCTCTCCTTTTTCAGATGAATGAGTCAAGCAAATTCCAGGGCATGTTTTCAAATGAAGATGCAAAAACCTGCCAAAACCATCAAGTCTTCTCTTTGTGTAAAAGCATGATCACAGTTCAGGGGAGCTGCTGTGTTTTAGTGGAAACACATGAAAAACTGCTTTGTAAGGGAAGATGCTCCTTCAGACAGCTCAGTGCTCAGACACTGCTTATGAGAAAAGAAACCATGAAATACAGAAATAAATGCAATTCCTAAGTCTCGCGATATTTCTTGATGCAGATACAAAAGAGAAGATGTCTGGCTCTGCAGAACACTGGGAGGAGAGAACTGGCATTTCTAAATATGCTGCCCCCAGGGGACTGGGTCTGTTGTCCAGAAAAAAGCAATGCAACATCATGCTGATGTAAGTAGCTGTAAGTTGTGATAATGCAGGTTGCAGCTTGACAGGCTCGGTGGGAAGCCAAGACAGCATGTTTCTGCCCTCCATGCCAGGAGGACCATGGAGCAGGATCATGGGAGATACCCAGTGGCTGCAACAGTGGCTAAGGACAGGGTCACCAGTGTCACCAGGTGTATTGACCTGAGCAATGAGCTCACCACATCCTCCTTTACCTCTACAGATCTCACTGACGGTTACAGAAATGTGTCCTTGCTGCCCATGGAGCTGCCTCTCAGCATTCTGGGCAATTTCCAGCATCTTGCATTCTTGCCTGTGAGACTTAGGTTGTGTAACTGTCTGATGCGCTGCTGTGCTGCAGTACCATTTCCAAAGTCAGTAATGATATTTCTGCAGGATCTGTCAAATTTTATGCTGAAATCTCCAAATGACCCACTAAGATGACCTCATTTGTCTTCAGGAAGCATTCTGCTCACATTCTTGTATCTGGATAGTTCTAAGAAATTCACTCTGCACTCAGTGCATTGCTTTCTCACCAACTTTCTGTAACTAAATGCCATTCTGTGCAGGTCATTACTTTTGGTGTTAATATACTGCTGGTTAATTATGGTTTTAGCAGATTGCCATGAACAATGTTGAAAGGTTGCTTTAATGTCTGGATAAGCCATATTCTGCAGTGATTAAAACTTCAATGATTAATGAAACAAGAAGGTGATAAACAATGAATTTATTAATGCAATTATACACCATAACTTGTAAGAGGAAGAACCCTTTCTGCACAGCAGCAGTAACTTAAGTAACCAGTAAATACAGTGAAAGAGAAATGTACTACCTTAGGATTCCCAGTCTCCTCAGTCTTCATAACTGAGGACTTTTGTGACTTCAAAATTATTACCAGTAACACAACAGCATGGTGATTATTCATGTTGACTATACAACAAGAGGTCACTGAAGTCCTTAAAACATGTAATGAATCCTAATAAACCCACACCCAATCCCCCCCCAAAACCCAGGGAAATTTCAGCAACATTCGTGCATGTTTTTTTTCCCAAGGTAATATTGATTTATTCTATGATTCTATGATTAGGGGAAAAAAATGGCAGATACAGTTACTAAGCAAATATCTGCTGTTATGATGATGTTGATGGTTCAGATGGATTTTTTCTAATTAAAATTTCGGAAATGTTTGCAAGAAGTGCAGAAAACACTTTTGTTTGTCTCAAAATTTGTAATGAAGGACTAAACCTCTACATTCACCCTCGGCAATTTTCAAAACGAGGCCAAGTGGAATGGGCATAATGTTCCATTCTTGAAAGTTTACGCTGGCGTGCTTTTGTTACACTCGGAGCCGACTATTACCCTCTGCTTTCGACTAAGGCAGAAATAAGCCCTTACACTACGGAAACTATTTTGGGGCATAATATGGAGAAGAAAACACTTCCCTCTGCAGCGTGCGGGGGAACATGCCGCATCCCCCACTGCACCGCTGGCAAACGAAGTCCTGGATTTACCACTTCAGCAAATCAGCGGGAGTGAATCAATCGCGGATCAATCCCGTTCTCGCCGTCACGATCTGCGTGGTACTTGGCACCGCTGCCGCACAAAAGCGGGAAGGTAAAAGCCGAGCAGAGCAGTTTGAGAGGACCCGCGGGAGAGGTGGGACTCGCCTGAGCCCGCCCGCCGCTGCCCGCCTCCCCCCTCCCCCCGGGGCTGTGCGGTGCGGCCCCGCGGACCCGGGCGGAGCGCGGCGGGGCAGCCGGCAGCCCAAAGCTCCAGGTAGGCAGCACCGCCCTCCCGCCGTGGCCCGGCCCGCGATCCCGGTCCCCAGTCCCCAGTCCCCGCCGTGGCGTGGCAGCCCCAGCGTGGGCGCCTTCGCTGCTTGGTGGGGAGGGCACGCAGCTCAGCCCACCCCAGCCCAGCACGGCACGGCTCTGCTCGGCGCGCCGGAGGTGCGGTGGTTTCTCCTTGCGCTTTGCGGAGCAAAGAGCCAGGGGAGAAGGAGGAGAAAGAGGAAGGGGTGTATGTGTGTGTGTGTGTGTGTGTGCAGTTTGGTGCTGGGGGAGGCCCGGCGGGCTTCCCTGCTCCGCCGAAGTCTTGCCCGGCACTCTTCGATCGGGACTTGCCGCGCTTCTCCGACACCGGGCTGGAGACGGCGGGGGCTGGTCCGGTTGGGCTCTGTCGGGGGACGGCCGCTGCTGGGGCGTCCAGCCGGTTCTCCTGCCGACTTCTCCGCGGCTGCTTTTTAATGGCTTGTGCGGAAGCGGATCAATAGAGATGTCTCTGAACCCTTTTCACATTTAGCGGTCTGCCTTGCCTTTTAAGAACACTTTTGGATTAAAAAGTAAACTAGATATAAGCAGCCGTGAGTCACTTACAGTAGCCTGTATGGCTACAGAAATGCGGGAGAAGTCTCTTCTCTCTGGATGGCCGATTTAAAGCAGTCTTACTAAGTTGGGGATAGTTAACTTGATTTTAGGTCCAGGTAGATTTTGAAGGGGCTTTCTATTTTTTTTAATAAAAAGGCTTTCCTTACGTGCTGCTGTAAGACAGTGGAAATCCTCGTTGCTCATTTTCTGGATTTTCCTGCAGTGAGACAGCCTTGTGTCAATACTGTTTCTCTTTTGTCTAATGCAAAGCACAACTGCTGGTTATTCTGGGAGCTGAACTCAGTGACTGCTGGGGAAGGTAGACCTCAAGATCTGAGCAGCAGCAGTGTATTGATTCCATTAGCAGAATTTACAGATCTACCGCCAGATCCCTTTTAGCAGTCACTTTCCCAGAATTAAAGTTCTCCTCAGAGCCTCGGTCGCTGTTCTAGGCCAATAGATGGCATAAGGTACTCAGGCGAACATCCTAAGAGGGCAGAGGAGGCAAGAATGCACTTTGTACACGAGCCAGGATTTTCGGAGGATGTGAGTCAAATTCTGGGTGTCCAACTTGGGGTAATTTGGGAGGGTCTCATTTTCAAAGCATGTCCTGGGCCACATATTCTTACTCTCCTCTGTCACAACTGCAGCATTTTCCGAACTCCTTCTCTGCTGTAAGCAGTGAGGGTTCAGCCATACACAGTTTTGGTAGGATTCTATCAGTGTCCATACCCTAAGTTCACTAGGATGCAGAGGTGGCTTTTTAACTTTGAGAGGTGTATTTCATAACTGCTGCGGGGGGGGGGGGGGGAGCTGCCCTTTGCAGCAGTGTTGAAACCAGTAATCGTTTGTTATGAGAATGGAGGGGGACTTCATAGAGAATTGCATCCTCTCCTCATTGAATTCATCTTTCTAGATTTTGCTGCTCAAAAAGGCAGTACTTGGGGGAGTGGAAGACAGTTGGCTAATAAGGAAAAAACTTAGTTTCAGTTATCTATACCTCTGCTGAGATAGCACCTTGGGTAGAAAAAGATTATTTTGTTTTCAGAAATTGTATTGATTACTTGCATATAGGTGGTAACTAAATGGTGATAAAGAGCTTTAGCTGACAGTACTCGGCTTTTATATGGTGCTTGTTATCTATAGATTTCAAAATGGTTCTTTTTACAGAGAGGTGCAGTATTATTTCTGGATGTTTGGTTGTTTTTCCTCTCAATTGCAGGAATTGAAGAATGGGAAAAGGTTCATTAATAGTATCTGAATTTTCTAAGTCACTTGCTTCTTTCTGTTCTGTTAGACCTTCTTTATACAGGCTAAGAGGCTTTAAAGTTGATCTTAAAATAAGAAAAACCTGTATGTACTTACAGCAGAGGACATTAAAGGTCTTTTTGAAGAGACTGTCTTGAACACTGCATCCAAATGCCTGTCTTGTACCCATCTCGGCTCTAAGGCAGTCCACGGAAATGGTAGCAGCCCTTCAACTTCCTATTTGTGGCTGTGGGCAAAATAAAATCAGTGAACAGCAGTTTTCAGCTGAAATGCAAACTCCAGTGTGGTCCCTAATGTTATTCCTGAGACAGGTGAGGTCAGATGTTTTCCTAAAATGTCCTCTGTAGAAACAGAGAGGCCCTGAAGGAAAAGCATTTCTTTGCTCACCCTCTCTAGGACTTTGCAAAATTCCCAGGTCAAGAATAATAAAACCATCTCAAACCTGAACAGATGATAAATCAATATTAAGCCATCTTAGCTGGGCAATTACAGCTATAGGCAAGGTAAAATCAACTATTAGTCCTTAGTGCCAAAAGCATGAGCCAGGCTCAACATCACTGCAAAATAAGGTTCATCAGTGACTGAGCTGAGTTGCAGAGGCACCTTAAACTCATATGGAGGGCGGAGATAGGTGGGCATTCCCAACTCAGCATTGGTACATGGGCCAGAGGTGAGTTTTTGTTTTGGCTGAGCACCCAGTGAAGCTGGCATTGGACACATTGCCTGCTTCTGTGCTGGATCGCTGCCAGAGACCTCTGCCACTGCTCCTGTGGCTTACCTTCTGTTTGCATCCCTTCTACCTACCAGCTGAGCAAGCTGAGCACCACTTGATCTCAGGTAAAGTAAATGCTAGTTAACAGGGGTTGTGTGTGAGAGGCAGATGCTCTGCAGAGTCTGACGTGAGCTAGAGACTGAGAAGCAAACTGTATCCTGTTGGGCAGTATCTTTCCTGACAGCTTGTCCTTCAGCTTGGTTACTTGAAACAAGTTGTGGCCATGCTTTCTGTCTTTTCTCCTGCAATCCCTCTGGCTAAACTCGTTTGTTTGCAACGTGCCTCCTGTCTAAAGGCTCTTGATTTAAAGGACTTGCTTACTTGCTAGTGGGGCACATATATTTAAAAAGATATAGCCAAGGCTAATGACTAGGAACAAGGCTCAAGTCTCTTAAACTCGCATCGTTCCTTGCCTTGCAAATTTTCAGTTATGGGATGTCTGCCAAGGACACATAATAAAACAGAGCTTATGAATAAATAAAATGTATTCCTCTAATCTGTGGATATTTTCTTCTTATCTTGCCTTTGCCCTCTCTGTTTGTTCTTATTTCTTGCTCTGCATCTATTTTTATTTGTTTAGCCTCTTTCTCCTTTTTAAGTTATGGGATCATCTTATTTTTTTCCCATGTTGCCTCTTTACTTTCTGAGGGGAAAAACACCCCCATGAAACTAGGCAGGATGCTGCCTGATTGCCTTTGGTTCTGTGTAGAGGGCCAAATTCCCAGCTGACAGAAACTGTCCTTGGCCTGTTCCAGTCAGTGGTTCTGCACCAGTTGATGTCAGGTGATCATCTGCTCCAAAGTATAACCCCAGGATACTTCTCCATACTTTACAATTTATTTTTTTTTCACCATTTCTTTTATTTTTTTTCACCATTTTTTCTTCTGTCCTCTTTTATTTTTTCCATATTTTACCAATGAGTATGTTCTAGTCTGCCTTGTCTTACCATCATTCATAATGTATCTGAAGTGCTAGCAGTCATGTGTTAAACTTTTGTTATCTGTCATTTGTGGATAACTTGCCCATTTTCTCTTAGAAGGGAGTTCTATATGTGACAATTGCTTGTAATGGTTTTGTTTTTCGTTCGACTATAGAAGAGATGACTTCTAAAATACTTATCTTGGAGAGGAAGATGGTATTGACCATATTGGTTCTTAGCTTCTGAGGGAGCTCATTCCACAGTCGTGATCTTATTTTCAAGGTAAATTTGTCTTCATCACTTATGTTAGGAGGTCCCATTGTGGTTGCTGTTCTTCTTCTAGAGCTCAGTTTACTCTGGATTCAGGCCACCTGCTCTGCTAGAGATAAAGCCAGAGACCTTGATTTTTGGGTGCTATTCTTCAAGGAGCTATGATAAGTCTGGAGTAAACATGGTGGTCTCTGGTTGAAGTTTTAGTTATGTTGATATGAAGGGTCATGGAAAGCTTCACAGTGATACCTGTCTGCTAGGTATTCCTGATGTCATTGGTTTTAGCATAACTTTATGTTCTTCCTTTACCCCTTTAATTTCAAGAGCTTTATCCTCAAGCTCTCTAACTCATCTTCTTGCCCTTCACACTAAAGTGCCTTATCTGTTTTGCCTTCCCATCCTTGGCAGGTGAGTGGGGAGTGAGGTGAGAGATTTTGATTTACTGGCTCTCATAGCTGCTGAGGAGTTGCTGGGAGGGGGCACATTGGGAAGCCATTATGGCTCAACCTTTTGAACTCCCAAATGTTCAGAGCAGCATGTCCCCTGACTGCAGACGTCAGGCTGACTTCAGTTTGCCTATTGCTGTCTCTTGGAGGGTATACCTGTTCTGCTGAAGCCATATGTGCTCTGAACAGGACTGTCTTGGGGTAAATGAACTTCTCTGTTTTTGTCTCTCCTCCTCACACCCACCTCTCCTTTTGAAATGTTTTTGTCTCACCAGCCATTAAAAACTAGCAAAGGCTACTAGCAAAGTGGAGTGTGGCTTGTTTAAGGAGGACATGTTATTTATCATCTGAGACAGAGAATTTTACTTCCCCCCTTTTTCTTCCTCTTTTGTACATTTTTGCCCTTTGTTTATCAACTTGGATAAGCAATTTAGATGCTGATACCTTAAAAACTGAGTAGTTCTTCTTCTATCTTTAATCATTCTAGCTGGGTGCTACTCTAATGACAGGCTCAAAGCTCAGCCTGTGCAGGGGATTGCTTGTCTTCTTTTTTGGTTCTCACTAAAATCAAAGCAAAACCAGAGGCTTTATGAGTTTGGGAATGTTCAAGTAGAACATGTTGACCCACGGTGCAATGTCAAACAGGTCACTTCTCAAGTCTCAGGTTTGGCTTCCATAGCATGGAGCTTAAGGCATGTGCCTCACAGCACTTTTAAAAAAGTGCTGTGAGATTT